GATGGTCAAGTAGAGTTGGTAAAAGGCGGGAAAAACATTGCGGTATGTCCGTCCAATGTCCATGACTATGTGCGCCTTTATGCTGAGCAGAGGATGCTGGGAAGCAACGCAAAAGTTCTTCAGGTAGGAAACTGGATCACCCACTTTAATCTCCAGCCGTGACCCTTGTTGCGGTTCATTGCACCTCTTTAATCTATAATAACTACCAGTTTATCTACTAATGGAAAAAAAAATAAAAAAGCACGACAACAACCACTTTTATTTTCATCTTAGAGTACATTGACATCCCCGATAAAAGCGAACGCTTGCACTGTCGTAAAACTACATGGAAAAGGGGAGGTTTAATGTTGTGGTTCAATTTTATGCTTGATTCAAGTTTAATTTTCCTATTTTTTTCGGTATAGTAATTTATGATAACTATAGAGCTTGAAACATAAAAAAGGAAAATTTGAACAAAGGAAAGATTCAACAGAAACACAAATAGTAGCAAATTGTCTTTTTTGCGCTCATGCGTTTTACTCAAGGAAACTCTGTTGTGAGTTAGCGCTACACTTTTGCGAGAGTAAGAAATACCTGAACTCAGCAGGTGTGTTGTTTTGCAGGCACTTCGCAGTGGTGTGTTGGATGTGGTTCCTTTAACAGCATTTGACAATCTAACAGCTGAAGATTTTCGCCTTCTTTTGAATGGATGCGGTGAAGTCAACGTACAACAGCTGACGAGTTACACTTCATTTAATGACGAAACAGGAGGTTTGTTACACGTCTACACGCAAGCCGTTTGTTCTGTTGATATGTTTTGAAAAATTGCATTCACTTCCTTTTACCCCTGCTGTAATTTAAAATGAAATCGATGCATTATATTTGCTGTTTCTTTCTTTTCATAGGGGCTGGAGCTGAAAAGCTGCTCAAATTTAAGAAGTGGTTCTGGTCAATAGTTGAGAAAATGACCAGTGCTGATAGACAGGACTTGGTAAGCACCACACCTTTGTTTAAGCAGTTTGGTGCTATCTCTAATCATAATTAGAATGGTCTAACAGTTGATTTGTTTCATGTACTTTTGAATCATCTGAGACGTTAATAGTAGCCTTCACTAAGAAATGCACAGATAGATGTAGTAAAGTGACGGCGCACTGTTAAATTAAGCTTTGAAGTGCATTGTTTAAAATCTCAAAATCTTAGCTATTACCACAAAAAGTAAATATGCAAGTTTAGTTCTTTTCCAGGACCTTAGTCGTAATTTACATAGAAAACCACTGAGTGAGTGACAGTTTGTGTTACTGTACCTTCTTTTTAATGTTCCTTTCTTTCTTTCCTTGAAGGTGTACTTTTGGACTTCAAGCCCGGCGTTGCCTGCAAGCGAGGAGGGTTTTCAGCCTAAACCTTCAGTGACAGTCAAACCAGCGCATGATCATCAGTTACCTACAGCAAACACATGTATTTCTCGACTCTACATTCCACTGTATTCTTCTCGTGCAATTCTCAAAAGCAAACTGCTATTGGCCATTAAGACTAAAACCTTTGGATTCGTTTAGAAGAAGATAAAGAGAGAGAGAGTGCTGATATTCTCAACTATGCAGACGAGTTTAAGCTTTTTGATCATTTCTTAGGACATGTCTCTGCTTTTATATATCGTGATCTGCGCAATTGTTGTTTTGTAAATTAAGGCTACTATGCCGTGCGTGTCGTTGTTGGGTAGTATTATTTTGTACCAAATTCCTTATTACTTTTGTAAACCTTAATAGCAATTCGTTTGATTGCTAATCAGCTGTAGAGTATCAGATTCCGGGTATGACAATTAACGAGCTCTACGTCTGAAAGCCATTGACCTCATATTGTCGCGGAAACCTGAAAGTCTTGTCCATGTGGCAAGTAATAATATCGACTACAACAAAACAAAAAGAACTTTTTATCCACAAATAATACATGTATTTCGTACTGAACCGCAAATATGTGTATCTGCAGACATTGCAAGAAAAAAAGTAAGAAAAAACGTGTATAGAGAGGGGGAACTTTCAAATTCGATGTTTAGACTGCAGCTGTATATGCGTGATTAATCAGTTATTTCAATATTGTATAAATGGCAGGGAGTGTCAACATGGTCATCCTTCAGCAAGAAAAACTCTAAGAGTTGTCGATGAATTGCTTTTTTTAGTTTATATTTGCGTAATAAATTAAACGATGAAAGTTTCACTTTTTGGTGTCAGTACAAAAAAACGACTTATTCCGTTGCTGTGTTGGCTAATATTGAATGGAAAAGGTGCCAGCCTTGAAAATGTGTTGTTGTAATGGTTTGTACTACAGGCGAGAGTGAATAAACTGGAGATATTTGACTGACAGGAGATTTCTTGTTAGTAGTATAGGGCGCGTCGAATTATCCACCCTTTTTTGCGGGGCAATCTTGGTAATTTGTAGGGGGAATACATCAACATAACGTCTCCTACTATTTTGGTTGGTTTAACCGGTTTGACAAGTTTTAGATCGTTCCAGTTTTTGCGTGTGTGTACGTCACTTCCTTGTTCGGTATTTCGGTTATGATATCACCCGTGACTTAAATGTTCCAGTTCCGGTTCAGTGATTTTCGGCGCCCAAATTATGCATATTAATGAAGGCAAATGTATCAATTTAGGGTCAGCTTAAGATCGATATTAGAAAGCTCAAGCATCCACGACGACAACGAAAACGTCAAAAAGCAATAAGTTTTAGGAACAAAACAACGGCTCTGCACGTGTATCACCTTTTTTAGTACATTTCTTTGACGTCCACAACACAGCCTTATATGTATACCCCTGGTATGACTACCCATGGACCTGTTGTTTCTCGTGCCGTCAAAATATTTATTTCAGCCTTCTTCGCGGGCTCATTCGTCAGAAATGACATTTTACGTGGTCATCCTAACCATGCGAAGGCAGAAGCAAAGGCAGTACCTTCATTTCTAAGTTATTTTAATTAAAAAACCTAAAAGCCACCTTTTGCCAATTTATTTTTCACCTGATTTTACACTAAATAGCCAGATTCGGTTGTTTCATGCATAAAAGTGGATTTTTCTAAAAAAGCTTAGAACTTTGCTTACGACCTTGAGTAATGATCCGGCCCGCGGGATCTCCCGCTCTGCAGTCAAGCGCTCCACCGACTTAGCTCATCCTGTACGTGGAATCCTTTAGGCTGGTTTTCACTAATAAGTGGAGTCGGAAGAAAAGGGAAACGTTCTGATTCTTCCAACTCCGATTCCGTCGAGCTTATGACTCCGCTTACGACTCCCGGGGGGGGGGGGGGTTACTCCTGGTAATTCTTCGTGGGGGTGTACCGCCCGGTTCTTCAAATCCTGACCTGACCAAAATAGGCAAAGTGTATACCCGTTTTCAGACCAAAACAGCGCCAAAACCCTACCCGATGGGGCGGCACATACCTATATGGCTTATATAAGGGAGTACCCCACCCGGGTTACGACTTCGATTTTTCATTTTCACAAGGTCATAAGCGCTCTTCCGACTCCGCTTACGAATCCGACTCCGTCGTGTCAAATTCTTTTGCCATTTCCTTGACGTCTGTCGTTAGTACTACACCTTAGTACAGTCCATCGCATCTGTTACATCTAATCAGTAATCGGCTCCTGATCTAATATATTTTGGAGAGGAACGTTGCGTGACGATTCAAATAATGGCTTCGTTGAATACTAGCCTGCGTGGTAGGCGTTCGAAAGGGAAGGGGAAGGGAATTCGGGCGCGAGACCCACGCGCCCCACGCGCTCTCGCGCACCCAAATTCCCTCTTAACGCCTGCCACGCAGGCTAGCTGAATACCGTAAAATTCCGAAAATAAGCCCCGGGGCTTATATTTTTCAAAGGCCCTTTATGAGGGGCTTGATTTTTGGAGGGGCCTATATTTGCAGGGGCTTATGCACGGAGGGAAATTTGCGTTACAAAATCGGTTGGGCTAGATTGTAGTAGAAAGGAAATTTACCAATTTTGCTTTGTTTTACTTTGTATTCGAGGGCAAATACCAAGTACAAGGCCCCCGGGGGGCTTATATTCGGAGGGGCGATTTAACGGAGGGTTTTTTGCGTTACGATTTTGGGGGGCTTATATTTGGAGGGGCTTATACATGGAGGGGCTGTATTTGCTCTTCGATTGGTATGTGACATAATTATTTGTCGTTTGTGTGACACACAGAATGTGGCACACCCCCAGGACGCCCTCGGACCTTCCTATTTCCACTGTCAGCGGTCTTTTGTCCCATGGTATAAAGTCGAATCGGAATCCCTGCTCGTTTTTAAGTTTCGCTGTGTCATGTTATATGATGGCTGAGGGAATCAACAGTTTTGCGTACAAATACTGCTTGTCTTCTCTTGCCGCCACTGTTGCAGAGACAGGTATAAATAGTGTTGGTTGTCATATCTTTAAGAGACAAGTTAGAATACTTACGTGGCACATATCACATGATATTATCTGATCGTGGCCGTGTTTCTGCAGGGGAGACACTCTTCGAGCCACAAGAGTGTTTTCAACAAAAGACTTCAATTTTATATTTAAGCTTTATTTACTCCAATTCTAAACCTCGGCTAGCTGTGAAATTACGTTTTTTAAATAAATCATATATATAGATATTTACATGGAAATTTTAAAGATTATTTTTTCAAGTGTAATCCTGAATTGTTGAACGAGAACCTAGAATTGAATTAAAACCGACCTTTGATCTTCACGTTTGGTATAAATCTAATTCTATACTTTGTTGACTAACAATGCTTTCTTTCAACATCAAGTTAGTGTATAGTTAGTCGTATCAGTAAAAGTTAATCGTTCATGAATCTAATCATATTGCTTTTCAAGAATTGAAATAATATTTTGTGGTTATGGGGACAAACAAGTTAAATGTTTAATGTTTCTTAAAAAAAAAGGTTGAAAATATAAATTTATAATGTGTTAAGTTTTCTTCCTTTGTTCTTTTAAAGAGAGTCACTCAAAGAAACGAAACAATACAAGTCATTTTAGGTTTATTTTCATGTCAAGTTAACAGCTGCGAGCCATAACTCAATTAATAGTTTGCTAGAAAAGAAGAAGAATAGAACATTTTCACGTGATGAGACGTTCTTTATATGAACCTTATTTTTCACTACTGTTTATTTGGAAAGACTTTAAATTAAGAACTTTATATCAACAATTCACATGATTATGATTTGCAAGTGACAAGGTCCCTCTGAGGTTTAATATAGAATATTGTTCCTTGGACTCAAAACTTGTCAGAGAATACAAGCTGTTTTTCTTTTTATTTTGGGTAACAGTGCTATATTTTCACTTAATGCAAGAATGCTGTATTATAAAGTAGGTGGGGTCCCACTACGTTGCTTACAGCTCTCTTGCATTGAGCTTTTAATCTGAGTTTTTAATTACATCACCAACCAGCTGTGCACAGGGTTGGTAGTCTTAAAAATTTAAGTGTGTCCATATTTGGCATGCTTTCTAAAACCTTAATCCTATTTCACAACAAAATTTGTGGATTCCCCCACCCTGTTTCAGACTAGACCATTGGAGCATGTTCAGGTACATATAATTTCCCAGATAGTCTGGATCAGAAAAACCTGTGTAAACATTAATTTTGAGAAGGAATTCACTTTGCACTCAAAGTGCTCTTCTTAAGAGAATAGTAAAAGTAAAGAAGAATATGAGCCTTCCCAAATCACACTCTTTTTCAGATTGTAACAGTTAAAAGCTTTAACACCATACCCTTTGATGCTGCAAATAACTGCATAGCTGAAAAAAGGGAGTGCTCTTCCGTTCCCGCACCGTTCCGTGGTCTCCTATACAGACATTCTTGGGGCTTTGTCATGCATTCCTCGTCTGTGTAGCAGACTTA